AAAAAAAATATCGATACCATACAAAAAAAGTTCGGTATACTGAAATTTGGCATTTTCAGTATTTTTAAGTATAGTATGTGATGTTTCTGTAATTCAATATTTTTTCATCTATAAATTCGGTATACTAAATTATTGGTACAATATCTTGTTACGATAAAATACCATACTAAAAATTTTGGTACGATATATAAAATATGCGTTATAAATTTGGGTATGTAATATCGAATTATCCTTACCAACAATCAAATTCAAAAAATTTGATGTTTTGTTTATATTAAAAATTTTAATGTTACGGCTGTTATTTTTGTATTTAAATTATTACAATTAATTATTTTTTTTTATCTAATTGCATAATTTACAATCAATATAATAATTTTTTTTTTCAAATAAAACAATTTCAATAAATAAAATATTAAATTTTAAAAAATAAAATAAAGTAAAAAATATTTCAACTTTTATTTCAATATTTCATCAATTAAAAATAGTTAAAATAACATTTTATTACATATATTATATTAACTAATCACACTAATTAACTATATAAACCAAATTTTCTTAAACTCCGCCCCATAATGAAACGCGACTAATTTCGCGGGACGGAGAAAATATTTTATTTTCGATTTTTTAATTTAATTTTAAATATTAATATAATATCTATTGGGAAAAATATATTTTTACTATAATTGAAAATAGCATAATAAGATAATACTGAATAGACAGTGATATATTAGAAACAAATTTAGATGCTTATTTTTGGAAGCAATGGTATGAATACAATCTGCATTTTCGGAATTGACAATGATACGATATACACAAATTTTGATGTATTTTTTTTCGATTTTTTAATTTTATTTTAAATATTGATGTCATATATCATTAGAAATATATATTTTTACAGTAATTGAAAATAGCGTAATATGATAATGCTGAATAAACATTGATATAATATAAACAAATTTGGATGCCTATTTTTGGAAGGAATTGTATGAATATGATGTGTATTTTTGGAATAGGCAATGATATGATGTAAACAAATTTTGATGTTTTTTTTTTTTTTTTTTTTTTTTTTCTATTTTTCCTATTTTATTTTAAATATTGATATAATATCTAATAAGAAAAATATATTTTTGCTGTAATTGAAAATAACATAACAACATAATAGTGAATAGACAATGATATAATAGAAACAACTTTTGGATGCCTATTTTTGGAGGCAATGGTATGAATACAATGTGTATTTTCGGAATTGAGAATGATATGATATAAACAAATTTTCATGTATTCTTTTTTTTAATTTTATTTTAAATATTGATGTAATAATTCATGAGAAAAATATATTTTTATTGAAATTGAAAATTATATAAAATGATAATGATGAATAGAGAATGATATAATAGAAACAAATTTGGATGCCTATTTTTTAAATCAATGGCATGACTATGATGTTTATTTTTGGAATAGACAATGATACGATATACACAAATTTTAATGTATTTTTTTCGGTTTTTTAATTTTATTTTAAATATTGATGTCATATTTCATTGAAAAATATATTTTTACAGTAATTGAAAATAGCATAATATGATAATGCTGAAGAAACATTGATATAATAGAAAAAATTTGGATGCCTATTTTTGGAGGCAATGGTATGGATATGATGTGTATTTTAGAATAGACAATGATACAATAGAAAAAAATTTTGATGTATTTTTTTTTTCGATTTTTTAATTTTATTTTAAATATTGATGTAATAACTCAAAAGAAAAAAATATTTTTATTGAAATTAAAAATAACATAACATGATAATGCTGAATATAAACAATGATATAACATAAACAAATTTGGATGCCTATTTTTGAAAGCAATGGTATGACTATGATGTGTATTTTTCGAATAGGCAATAATACGATAGTAGCAAATTTTGATATTTTATTTATTTTTTAATTTGATTTTAAATATTGATTTACTTTCTAATTAGAAAAAAATATTTTTATTGTAATTGAAAATAATATAACTTGATAATGCTGAGTAGACAATGATTTAATAAAAACAAATTTAGATGCCTATTTTTGGAGGCAATGATATGAATATGATGTGTATTTTTGGAATAGGCAATGATATGATATAAACAAAGTTTGATGTATTTTTTTTTTTTTTTTTGTTTTCTAATTTTATTTTAAATATTGATGTCATATCAAATTGGAAAAATATTTTTTTAGTGTAATTGAAAATAGGATAACATGGTAATGCTGAATAGACAATAATATAATAGAAATAAATTTCGATGCCTATTTTTGGATACAATTGTATGAATATAATGTGTATTTTTGGAATAGGCAATGATACGACATAAATAAATTTTGATGTTTTTTTTCGATTTTTTAATTTTATTTTAAATATTGATATAATATCTCTTGAGAAAAATATATTTTTACCGTAATTGAAAATAACAAAATATGATAATGCTGAATAGACAATGATATAATAGAAACAAATTTGGATGCCTATTTTTGGAGGCAATGGTATAAATACAATGAGTATTTTTGGAATTGCCAATTATACGATAGAAACAAATTTTGATGTTTTTTTTTTCTATTATTTAATTTTATTTTAAATATTGATGTAATAACTCATGAAAAAAATATATTTTTTTTACTGAAATGTAAAATAACATAAATGATAATACTGAATAGATAATGATAAAATAAAAAGAAATTTGCATGCCTATTTTTTAAAGCAATGATATGACTATGATGTGTATTTTTTGAATAGGCAATGAAACCGTACAAACAAATTTTGATGTTTTTTTTTTTTTGATTTTTTATTTTATTTAAATATTGATGTCATATCTAATTAGAAAAATTATATTTTTACCGTAATTGAAAATAGTATAACATGATAATGTTGAATAAACAATGATATAATAGAAACAAATTTCGATGCCTATTTTTGGAGGCAGTGGTATGAATATGATATGTATTTTTTGAATAGGCAATGATACGATAGAAACAAAATTTTGATGTATTTTTTTTTCGATTTTTTAATTTTATTTTAAATACTGATATAATATCTCATAAGAAAAGTATATTTTTACTGTACTTGAAAATAACATAATATGGTAGTGCAGAATAGACAATGATATAATAGAAACAAATTTGGATACCTATTTTTGGAGGCAATGAGATGAATACAATGTGTATTTTCGGAATTATTAATTATACGATAGAAATAAATTTTGATGTATTTTTTTAATTTAAAATAATAAGAGTGTGTTCTTTTTGTGAAAAAGATATATACATTGTTTTAAAAAAATTAATATATTACACATATTTTGTTGGATTTTTTGTCCTTCGGATCCACCCCAATATTATACACAACACACCAATTATCTAAGCAGCCCATTCGAACCGGGCCTGGCTTGTGATACACAACCCACACCACAACCACACCCGTTGCTGACCCTTACCTGTGATGCGCCCCTTGCTCCTGACCCGCTCCGTGACCCGCCTAGGATCCGCGTCCTTTTGTGAGGCCTGATCTGGGCCGTTGATTACAGATCTTGATCTTGGCCGTCCATCTCCATTTGACATGTATATATATATAGAGAGAGAGAGGCATTATATCAGATCACTCTAATCTTACTCTCTCTCTCTCTACGCTCACTATTCTCTGGCCTCTCCCCTCTCTCTCTCGACCCACTGCTCTCCTCTTTCCAGTGACTTTCACGGCGGTTCACGGCGGTTTCTCGGTGGTGCCTTCCTCCTGTAATCTTGTGGAGTTCTTGTGGCACGTTTTCCCTTTTGTGTGTAGTCGTTCGTAGCCGAAAGGGGGCTCGTTCGACGCGGTAGGCCTTCGGGTGCCTTGTTTGTGTTGATGTGGGGTTATATATCGTGTGTATCGCGGTCGTGGCCGGTTCGTTTGTGTAGTCGCTAGATTAGGTGTGTATTGTGTCGATTTTGTGCTTTTTCGAGTTGGTTGGGGCTGAGCCTAACCAAACTAGTTCAATATTTGTGTTGTTACTTGATTTCATAAATAAAATACTTAGATCCGTTAATAAATTTCATAACATATTTAATATTTTTATATCACCTAAACAATTTTTTATCTCTTACTTAAAAAAACATCTTTTCAAATTAGTTTACAAAACAAACACATTCTAATAATTAATTGTTAAAAAACAAAAAAAAAATCAAGTACATAGTCACTACAAAAAACTAATCTTTTTGTGACGGAAATTAGGAACATAATTTATTTTGTTCTTATTAGTAACGGAATTAAGGACTGAATTAGAAAATTGATCATCTTTTACCAATTGGCAACGGAATTTAAGAATGGAATAAAATTCGTCTTTAATAGAGATGAAAAATAGGGACAAAAAAAAATCTATCCTAATTATAGACGGAAATTAGGAAGGGACAAAAAAATTTTTTCCCATTAGAGACGGAAATTAGAGATGAAAATAATTCTATCACATATAGAAATATAAATTAAAGAGAATGTTATTTCATTAGTTATTAGCAACAAAACAAATAACAAATTTAATTCCATCCCAAATTAAAAATGGAATTAGGGATAAAATTTATTTTCATCCTTAAATAAAAATTAATAAATAATTTATTTATTAAAAGAAATAATTAATTTTTTTTTTTTTACCCTAATTTTTACTATCAACTGGATTTTCCCAAAGTGTATAAAAATAATTAAAATAGTAATAAATTTTATAAATAATTAAATTAAATTTAAATTAATTATCAAACATAAAAATATTAGTGTATTAGATAATAATATAATTTAAATTAAATATAATTATATAATAGAATTTTATAAAATCTAAAATATGAATTATTAATAAAATCTTATTACTATTATTTAATTTCATAAAAAAATTAATAATATATAATAATATTTTTGGCAAGTTACCCTAATCACTTACATTACACATTCATAATAGCCAGCAACACACTGGTCTTCCTCTATCTCTTTTTTCTTCGTCAAATCTCTCTTTCTTCCTTCTCCATTTCTTTTACTTTCCTTCTTCTTTATCCACCAGCCAAATGTTATATGGTTGGTCCCAACTTCACACCAAGTTAGTATATTAATTTTTAAAAAATAAAAATTACAAAATCTAGGTTCGAACCATAAACCAGCCAATTTGATAATCTGGTTTTTGGTTTTGGTACGACGCCTCCGGTTTGAAATCGATTAAGCAACAGCTCTACCTCGCATAATACCTCTGAAATCGTCGCTAGCCACACCAGCTGCTTTCCGCCTCTCACCGTAGACCTAGCAAATCACCGTCGGTTTCTGTTTATGTGTTTCTTTCTCTCATTCTCTCATTTTTTTTCTACTGGTACAGTATCGATTTGGGTACCAATTTTGCTTTGTGTTGTATTTCTTAGAGAGATGTTGTGTTGTGTATCTATTTGATTTGATTTGATTTTATATTGTGTTTCTTAGGAAGATGTTGACACTGCGTTGGTTGTACTCTCTCATAGAAGACTAATAAGCGAAATGGTCTGTTTCTTCAACAAGGTTTGAAATATTACCTGTTGATGTTGTATAATTTTGTAATGCGATGTGAATGGATAGTTAAATGTATTTATTAGAAAAAATGATGTATATTATATTAGGAAGAATTTTATTTTGCTCACTGTTCTTCGTATTGTTGTTCAATCTTTGATTCATTCTAGTGATATTGTTATTTGTTTGTTGACCGTAAATTTTATCTTCATAAGGGAATCTGCAGTGCTATTTTCATTATAATTGTGGCTATATTATATTACAAACAAGTACTAAAATATTATGCATACCTTTCAGACAAGTGAAACTGGAACCGGAACTTAATTGTAAACTCATGGGTATATAAAGGTACGCCAATCTCTCTACTTATTATTAAATATTGTCATATGCTTATGAGATTGGTTTTATAGATTTTGAGTGAGTTGATTGCTTCTCAGCCCACATTTTTTGGTGTTTTATTTTGATTTTGATATATATATTTTTTTTATATCTTGTATTTGAATGGTAACTTCAATAAGAATATTTTGTAAAATAAAGTAATAATACTATTTTATGTCACATATATATATATATATGTGTGCAGTTTTCAGAATTGCCTGAGAAAAGACAAATGTGAAATTCTGCTCTGCCTGTAGCATTCTATCATGTTTTCTATTTGTTGTTGGAGTTTTCTGCATTCGTGATTAGTTTTGTTTATAACAATGGCATGGAGATGGAGCTGGTATTCACATTTATTCTTATGGTTCTATTATATTATGTTATGTTCTGTCCTTTTTGTTGAATTGAATTAATGGACGGATATTTGTGGATTCATCGAATTACATCCCAATTTTGCATTTATGATTTACTAGAAATGAATGGAATGGGAACTTCTTGTGTCTTCACTTCTGGAATACGAAGAACATGCTAATTCATTGTTACTACATTTTTTTATGTGATCACAAAGACATCTATCATGATCTCTATATGCATTATAGGGCCTTCAATCTCTATGTTAAGATGTTATCATGTTGCCATTATTTTTTAAGTTTCATTTACAGTGAACTATCAATGTTGCCACCAATGCTTTGCCCTGTGCTATGCAGTTCCCCGCCATCATCTACCTGAAGATAGTCACCCTACACTAGGATAGTCCCTACATCGCTCCACCGGCACCAAGTTGAATGTTTGTCACCACTACACACTCTATTTTTGTCTTGTGTTAGAATTATTGTGTTCAATTATTGCATTTTACGTGGAATTTGCTAAATATGAAATTTACTTTGTTAAGTAGCATGTTCATTTTTCTTAATGCATATGAAAATTATTTAAAGGTATGTCGTATTAATGTTTTATGACTATCAATTTTTACTATAACTTTTTTTTTTTTTTATATTCATTGCTTTCAGGAAGGTACGACTGCGATCGAGGAAGGAATGTCTCAGCTCGGTGATACAGAATATAGCCACGATGAGGCATTTCTTTCCTTGGTCCACCGGGATAAAAAGAAAAGAATTTATGGGCTTGGATCACTTGCAGCGGCGGTGCCAATAGAGGAGGTTTTCGATTCCAGCGACGGGCATACCCCGAGTGGTCCGAGTTACGCCCAACATTTGGAGAATCTCGAGAAAAATCACATGACCATCATTGAGCAGCTCAAGATGACTAATGCTCGCTTGGACAAGCGTAACGATGATGCGGACTCTAGTGCGCCTCCGGTTTGTTGATATTTATGTTTTCCGCACGATTAATATTTAGTATTGATGATATTATGACTGGATTATATGTTTTGGCCCATATGTGATGTTGGAATAGTTCAATTTCTGTAATTGAAACTTTTTTTAGATATTTTGGACGTTTATTATGGATTTTTAGTTGACTCAGTATGGTTGTTTGATTGTGGTTTGAAATTTCGTTTTGTACTTGTGTACATGTTGTAGTACGGTTGTTCGATTGTGATTTGAAATTTGATTTCATATTCGTGTACTGGTTGGAAAATACATCGGTAAATTGTGCAATGAAAAATTGTGTAAAATTAGGGACGGAATTTGTGACGAATTTTGTCCATCCTAAAATCTATTTCCATCCCGAAATTAGGGACGGAAATAGCGACGAAATGTTTTCGTCACTATTTTGGGAACCAAATTTGTAGTTTGTGTAGTAACGGAAATTTTCGTCCTAATTTCATTCTTAATTTTGTCTTTAATTTTCTCCTTAAATTAGGGACGGAATTCACGACGGAAAATTTCCGTCATTGACTTTATGACCACATTTTTGTTTAGGTTAGGCATGGAAAATTCCGTCCCTAATTTCATCTTTAATTTCGTTCCTTATTCCATATCTAATTTAGAGATAAAATTAGGAACAATTAGTGTTAGCTACGAGAACTTTACAGAGGGAATTTATTTCGTTTCTAATTCCGTCTCTAGTGTCATTAGTAACGAAAAAAATAGATTTAGGAACGAAATTTTTCCATCTCTAAAATGCTATTTTCTTGTAGTGAGTGAACAAAACCAGTAGTATCTTTTGGTATGTCAATGGTTTTTATTTTGCAAATTTTGAGGCGAAATTGTCGCATGTAATATTTTGTATGAAAAATTTATATTTTGATATATTTTAAATAAAATTTATATTTTGATAATTTGACTTTTTGCTTATGTGTTGTGTTCAAATATTGATTGAATGTTATGTTTGTATAAAATTAATAATATATTTTTATTAAAAATTTATTAACAATTACACGTGTTTGATTTATATATATATATATAGAAGGAAAGTGAGAGAGGATTATATAAATTGAACTGGAGATATAAATTACAAAATAATAATATTTTAATATTAAAATAATATAAATAAAAGTAAAGTAAAATATTATAGTAAATTTATTAAAAATATATATAAAATAATATAGTAAGTGAAAAAGATAATAAATTATTATTTGTTAAAGCAAAAGTAATATTAATATTATAGGCTTGACGCAACAAATATGTTTAGGACTATATTTTGTTATAATTATACTCCTTTCGTCCGTTTACAATGTTGACGTTTATTTTGGCGCGGTATTTAAAAAATAATAATATTTTAATTATAGTGAGTAGTTAAAAATAGTGTAATAATATTTTTGCCCTTACTTTTTTGTGCAAAAGTAATGATGTGATTAAAGCAAGGGAATTTGTGGAAAAAAGTAAAGTATTTAATGAAATGTTAATTTTGTAATTGGACGTCTCAAAATAAAAATATGTAAATATTGTAAGTGGACGGAGGGAGTATTTATTATGAGAAATTATTGATACAAATAAAAGAAAAATGTTGACTAAATAATTTTTTTTTTTTTTGTAACAATAAATTTCATAAATAAAACTATCTTTTGCTATAGATCAATTGTTACCGACGATCACAAATCCAACCCCTACACCATCAGACCATCTCTTACGGAACTTTCTTTTGTCCTTTATTCTTGCTTCCACTAGTTGCTTTAAAAGATTAATTTTGTTCAATGCTTTCATGACCTGATAAATTATTTAAATCAACATTACAAAATCATTGAAAATATCATTATAATCTAAAGTCATTTCATTTTGAGAGATCAAATTGTCTACATTTTTAATGCTCACAAAGTTTTTTTTTTTTCATTTGTAGAATTATGACATTTTCTTATCATTGTAAATTCAAATTCAACATCTTTTCTAAGTACTCGATCATCACTATAAAATATTATCATTTTTAAAAATAATTTAGGAAAGATGTATTAGTCCAATATGCATGTTTAGGTTTTGACTACAATAAATAAATAAGTCATGCAATATATTTAAATATATTTAATTGAACTTATTGATAATAAAGAAGTATAGATTTAAGACAAACCTCTATTAAACCATTCTAAAATTTTGGTTCAAGATTCCAACATTGAGTAGAAACGTTCCGGGCAAAAGTCATTTATACTATTTTAAATATATTATAAGAAAATTATGTATAAATTAATTGAACCTACAAAATTATCATTTTAATGAAATCAATGAGATTAGGTATGGAAAAATTATGTTAGTGTAATATTTTTATAGATGTAAACGTAGATTAATTAGTTAAATTGAATATAACATAATTGTAAAAATAAGAAATGGATTGCCAGATGGGTTAAGTATTTGTATAAAATTTAGGGTAAATTTTATACGATATTTCTTGTGTTTTTTGAAGACAAATTATTATTTAATTTTTACAAAAATTATAAAAATAAATGATTGATCAATTAGTCATCTCAACGACACATGGAGAATTTTTATTTATTTTATTTTATTAAATTATTATTTTATAATTATAAAAGTAAATTATTTTTTATTCATGTATCTGACATGCTTTATCATTAAAACTTTAAATAGATCATGTTTGAAATATGTCAGCAAGTAATTTTTTTTTTTTTTCGGTAAAATGGTCTTTCGACGTGTCACTAACTTGGTGATGACATGTCAATCGCGTCAGCAACGGCGGACGAGCGTGGCGGGTCCGGCACCAGAGGACTATTTTAGCGTAATTTTTTTATTTACGACACTATTTTCAGATAGGATCCATATAAAGTTCTAAAATAACAAAATGGGTCAATACTAGATTAAAAAATAGTTTATCCTAGATATAGTTATATATGTGTGTGATCGTTCTTTGAAGCTATAAAAATAGAAAATCTTGATTAATAATATGCACACGAAGACTTTCGTACAAAGTATATTGTGAAGATTTTTGATTTTCTTAGTTTATTCATAATGTTAATTTACAGAATTAATGTAAGGTATGAAAACTCGATCTGAACTCGACATAAAAAAATTATGTTTGAACCTCTAAAAATATGACTGAAAATTTTCAGGCTATGATTAACCAGGCGTGCCAATGAACCGGGCCGAATTTGTGCCCATATAGGTCGAATTGTGCCTGGCCCAACCAAATTTATTAAAATTAATATTTAAAATTTAATATCTTATTTATATATATATATATATATTAACTAATAGAGAAATTAAAAAAATTGAAGAATATCTTGATGGTAAAGTTTTTATTTTATGTTAACACAGTTGTGAGTTTGATTCTAACCTAGACCATTTGAATAATTTTTTATTAAATTAATTTAAAATTCAAAAAAATGAAAACGAAAAAAATAATTTACCATTTGACTAAATCTTATATTAAATTAATTTAAAATTCAACAAATAAAAAGGAAAAAAATAATTTAAATTAAAAAAAAAAAAAAAAAAAACCGAATCAGCCCAATTTCAGTGTCTGTTTAGCCCGCTGCAAAATTGGCCTGGCCCTCCCGGCCCTACCTAGTACAATTTGGACCCTATTGATTAAGATAATTATTGATTGGTACAAAAGAATCCTAAGAACAAAAGTATAGTCAAAATAAAATAGTGAAACTTTTAGAGATATTTTTATGCATGAAATTATTGAATTTTATATTTTCAAAATAAGTATATATATATATATATATTTATTTTTCTGAAGTTTACTATTTATCTACTTGGCTTTGTTCATAGTTAGACTTTGTGTACATGCATGTAGAAAAAGTTGTGCGAAATAAGAATGCTCAATATGAAAAGTGGTAGAAGTTTAGAACAAGACCAAAAAATCTTATCAATTATCTCCGATTCTTATTGTAATAAAAAAAAAAACACAAAGGAAGACCAAAAAGTTTATCGAGTATCCTTAGTTCCTATAAAATTCTATTTATTGTCAACAATAATAATCCGAACTTTCGAGTAATAATGTTAATATTTTGAAATCACTTCTGCAAGCAGGTTGTAACAAAATTGGTTTCAATGCCAAAACTTAAGACCATACTATAATTATATCCTATTTAAGAGCTTTTGACAATAGTAGATATGAATGTTTATAAACTCAAATATTGATAATAGTATTATTTCTCAATAGGCCAATAGAAGAGTATGTATATATATATATATATATATGTATATTTTGATAATAATATGTCCTCCTATTAGTGCTTTATGAATAGAAATTGTTTCTATGTTGTTACAACTTGTTACAATTCATCTTAGTATTGATTTATCTTAGCGACAATACATATGGTTAAAATAAATAAATAAATAAATAAATAGTCCTCTAAAAGATGACTTAGTGAACTCGTGATCGTGAAGTAGTTCAAACCCCCGACGCTTCTGGATTTTGCATTAGTTTGGAGAAGTACTAATGTGTTGTTAGCTTTCATTATAAAAAAAAAAAAAAAAAAGGCTAAATTACACAAAATTCACCTATGGTTTCATAAAATTGCACAAAATCTCCCATATTTTTAAAACTGCATCAAACTCCCTTGTGGTTCATAAACTTTGCGTCTAACTCCCTCAGCGGTCCTTATTTAAGGACCTAAATGCGTTCAAATTGCGATTAAATTTTAGAATCTCAATTTATAAACCCCTAAAATTTCAAATATATTTATTTATTTTATATTTACCCTAAAAAAAATAGTAAATATACTCAAAAATAGTTATTTTTCTCAGGTTTTAAGAGTTTATTTTTACTATTTTTTAGGCTAAATATATAAAAAAAAGAAATATATTTGTAATTTTAGGGGTTTATAAATTGAAATTCTAAAATTTATTCGTAATTTGAGCGCATTTAAGTCAAATACCGTTAAATAAGGACTGTTGAGGGGGTTAGACGCAAAGTTTATGAAACCAACAGGGAGTTTGACGCAATTTTAGAAGTACAAAGGATTTGGTGCAATTCCATGAAACCACATGTGAATTTTGTACAATTTAGCCAAATAAAAATGTAGTATTCGTAATTTGGCATAGATAACAATAAAAACAAAAAATTCAAAATCGACAAAACTTAGGCAATTGCTAGTATTAAAATAAATCAACAGTAGCCTGGACTTCCGAATAATGTAACCAAGGAGGAAAGTGAGAAAGACAAGGAGACCATCGACAACGCAAGTTGTTGCTTGGTTGGTTGGGAGAGACGGAAGCTGGATGATCTCATAGATGCCCGCTTGGGGAAGAAAATAAAGGACTTTATTAAAACATGAATATCGGGGAGTTTTGGGAAATGATTAATATGAAATAAGAAAAAAGATTAAAATTTTAATTTCTATCTCAATTAGGCACTATGCTTGAGCTTGAGAAAAATTGGTTTGAATTTGGTATTAAAATAATGTTTGATGGGATGTTTTGTGAGAAAAAAATATATTTTTTTCGAAAAAATGCAGAATCCAAATAATAAAATTTGAAAAAATTTGTCAAAGAAACATACACTATATTTTTAATTTTTCTTTTTAAATAGTACATCATATTCAACTTAGTCAAATATTTTTATATCTATCTCTTTTATCAATAAATAAATACTTTCTCCATCAACCAAACTACACATATTTTTCTTTTTATTTGACCACACCCAAAATATTAATAAATTTTACACACTTTCTTAATTTATACATTTTAATATTCAACTTATTTATATTTATATATATATCACAAACATCTACATATTCAATATATCCAAAAAAATATTCTCATTTTATTAACCCACTCTATATTTTTCAATATCAATACTGTATATCAAAATCAATCAATATAATATTATATTTATTAAAATATGTCCGGCTCATATAAATATCTTTTTCGTGGCTAAAGGAATATATTTATATACATTCAAAAGTCTCTACTTAGTTGTAAATTTAATTTATTTATAATATTTTTCTATAAAATAATTCATATTATATATTATTTTATTATAAAATATAGTTTTTAAAATAATTAAATACGTAATTTAGAAAATTTTATTATTATTATTATATATATTATATCATAATTAAATATTAAGTAAATAATTTTTTTTCAAACTCAATTTTAAACTAAAAAATACAACCGGCTACTGAGCGCAACCCAAGTTTTAATATGATTTATTTTTTGTTTAAAAAATAATACCACACGTGTCACTCCACGAGGGGGTGGGGTTGAAAGGCTATGGGGGCCCTTTTCTCTTCCCTGAGGATTTTTGTTTTATAATCCAGTCATGTGAATCGATATTCTGGATTTCAAGATTGGGTTTGAAAACCACCACAGTCATTCAAAGTGTTGACCATGTTAGGGTTAGGGTTTTAGAATGCATGGACCCATGTTGGGGAGTGGAATTCCCTTTGACCACATTGAAAACCCACAAAACAAGAACACCAAAATCTAAGCATGGAAGCAAGTGCAAAACCCTCCTCAGAAACCCAACAGCTAGCACATGATCATTGTATAGTTTCTTACAAAAAAAAAGGTAGATAGAGATGGTCGATGGAGACATGCATCTTTGGTGGATAACTGTCGGCCACACACACACACACCAGACCACTTTCCCTAATATAATAACTATAATTCATCATTCCTACTATTTGTACCTACTTTTTGTTTTCTTCTTCGCAATATGTGTCTTAATTAATTTGTCTCTAATGCATGAAAGTACTGCTGATTGGATGACAAAATTATTTATATATATATATATATATATATATGTGATCTTGCTGCTAGTATCAGGCAACTGCAAGGCTGGCTGAGGTAGCAGAAACCCATGTTTTAAGGGACGAAAGGGAAGTTCTTGTTATGGATTGGGCGTCGTCTTCTCACCCAGTGGTAATCCATGGTGAAGAAATCTGATTTATTGGGGCTTTCAATCCACTCTCTCCATGTCCCACTTCTCTGATTCAGCTTCTGTTGTTGCTGTTGATGAAGTGTTACTTCTTCTTCTTCTTCTTGTTCATCTTGGTTCTTGCCTGGATATGATCCGAAAATCATGTAATTCGTTAATTATAATATAAATCTGTATTTGGTTTGCGTTGTTTTGGAGAATCAGTTAGCATAAAACTTCTTCAAATTATGGGTTCTGAATTTAGGGTTTTGTATTTCTTGTTTGATCAGCTGTACTAAAATCTTTTGGATATTTGATCAATTGCCATTGAAGTAGATAAGCAAACTTAAAGCTTTGTACTTTAGAAATATATATTTATATTAATAATTTGGTTCAAATTCTGTTAATTGGTATATATTGAGCAGCAAGGTGGAGAAGAGGAAGCTTATCTATATCATCAATTTCTAATACTCACTTAATGAAATGATGAGTTAAAAACCAAAAAGAGGAATTTTAAAAACCCTAATTTTTACCAAAAGAGAAATGCTTAATTAAGTAAACCTGAAATTGCTATAATACAAACACACCTGATGGAGTTTGTATTAACAACTTCCTGCTCCGTATGATATCGGCATCGAGGTTGACAAAGTATTCCTTCTGTGATCAAAATTTGATACTCCATAAGTCAAGAGAACCAAGCAATACATATATATATATATTAAGGTAGAATTGGTCCAATGATAAAAAAGAAAGATGGATGATCATACAACAGCATCACGTTTGACAAGTTGGAGCTTTCTTGGCAGTAATGGCTGCAGACTAATCATCTGAACTGCAGAATCACCTTAAAAAAAACATCGAAAAGAAAGAAATAAGCCTTGAGATCATAAGCTTGCCTATAGCAACTAGTTAGTCACACATGGCAGCCATATATTACCAAATGGTTGGAGGGATCTTTGCGCGCTGTCGTCGTCGAAAAGATCATCAGAAGCACAAGGGGCCACCATAAAAGATACAACCAAACAAAATGCACCTACAAAGCCTAAGAACTCCATAGCACACAATCTTGATCCAAGTCTAGCTAATCAATCATCAACAAACCCTAATTTAAAGATAGTGTTTTAACTTTTCGACAATTCGAATAGGCAGTGTGTATGTATATATAGCTTTGAGAAGAGAGGTTAGAAAGGCTTGGGAAGGGAGCATACACAAAGCACAACATTCAGAGTTCCAAAACATAAGGGCGTGGCAACAGACCAGATAATTAATTTAATTCAATTTTAATTCGATTCTGTAACTTTTAATTTTAATTTAGGAAGCTTGACACCATGCATTTGTGCTGATTGTTCTGTCACCAACCATTTTGTTTGTAGGGCCACAAGTTAAGCCACTTTTGTAGACAAACTATAACCTCTTTAGGATGTCAGCAGCTACAAATGTTTTGGTGGTTTTGGTATGGAATAAAGAATCTTTGATTAATGCTTCTTTTAGGGTAAACTTTCTTTTAGGGACCATTCTTGATAATCGACTCGAATCCATTGTCATCCCTAATCGTATAGTCGAACTAATTTCGGTTTGTTATAGTACAAAAAAACTCAGCCTTGGTGAATGCTTAGGACATCATGAGATGTATGTAATAAGTTCTCGAAAACATAGGTAACCGAGGCTACAAACCGTCGATGACTATCGCAATTTTCCATTGCTATGTAATAACAAAACTATCGCGATCTATATACGTATTGTTTCGAAAATGCATTTAAAAGTAGCAGCAAGGAAGCCCGGATCGCCATCCCTTGTGCTTCCGGAAGTTTCTTCGATCTGCTTCTGTCATTCTCACCGGACTGCTGTCCCATTCTGGTTGTAGTCTGTGAAAAAGATTTCTATCCGATCATGTTTAGGACATTCTTGAATAATCGAACGTTGTAGTAAGTAATGATAAGTTGTTTACATTGGAAAGGCGAAGGATCGCGCACTTGTGGCGCTGCTGTCTGAGCGATGGGAGATGCTGCCGGAAAAGGGCACCGGATCGGAGCAATGGACGAGCCCGTTTGCCGAGAAGCTCGACTCGCCAAAATCGAATTTACGAAACGAATGGCTCATGGGAAACAGAGCATGCCCTTCTTCCTCGTGTCCATTCTTTTCTTCGCTTTCGGCATTTTCAGCTCTTCGATTTGCGCTGAAATTGAAAGTAATGCTTCCGCTTTCCACTTTACTGTTGTAATGAAGTTTGTTCGATTGCGCGCTGTCGCAAGACACTTCCCGCGATAAACATTTCTGAATGGTTAAATAAAAGATCATCATTAACTAAAAATGTGTAAATGGCGAGCTCGGTTGGCGGTACAAACCTTGCAATCAACATCCGTAGAATCAAGAAACGATCTAAGGAAACTTCGGGTGCCAAATTCTTGAAGCGGAAGTCTTTTGCCGACGTTTGTTTCATCTTTTTGAGTCGAGCCCTCCTCTGTTACATCGTCGGCAGAATTTTCATTTCCATGGCTGCTGTTCTTTTCTCTGTTTTCATCTTTGTTAGCGTTGTCGAACAAAGGAATAGCTTCCGAGTCTTTTCCTTCATCGATGTGTATGTCCTTCACGACACGATCTACCTCTCTGCGGCAAACTTTTAGCTCAGTTTCATCAAAGTCCCTTAAATTAGTCGAATCTCTGCATTCACTTATGTTGCCAAGCTTAGCTTCTTCAAAATTATCATTCGCTAAACCTATCGCTTTATCATTTACGCCATTTTGATCTTCCTTTTCGCCTGCGGTGAGTTCATCATCAGAGGGAATGTCATCCCGCCGATGCAATTTCTTACTTTCGGAAGATCCGAGATCAGCCTCTGTCCTAAAACTTCCAAGATCATCAGGTTTGGTTCTCGGGCTTTCTTTCGTGATCACTTCCCCGACACTGCCATGACATTTATACGGTTTTAAAGACAATCTTCGGCTAAAACTACAGAATTCTAAAGCAGCTCGAGAGAACAAAATGTAACCTGGTTTCATGCTTCACATCCCTCGGGACAGCCTCCAAAATGCTCAATAGTCGAGAAGCAAACATTCCTTCCACATTAAACGAAGATTCTTCATGTCCAAATATACAGAAAGAGTAACAATAGTAAGAGGCAACAAATGCAATCTCAAACTACATTAGAAAAACTCGAAACAAAGCTAAATTACGCGATGAATATAAAAGAACTTGCTGGTCTTCTTACACCTAAAGTCGATATTTAACAAAGGCATATCATAATTCATAAGTTTTCGCTGGCCTACCGACAAATCTCCCACAGAGATCCACAATGCATAAACATAATTCAATCATAGAAATGCATACAAACAAAATAGATCCACAAAACTACAATAATTCAATTCTAGCACCTCCAATCGAAGAATTCATTCTTATCATCTACCTACACATATTTATGCAAGTATACATTATTAGCATACATAACTGGCTTCCTTGTCTTCATTGCCATGCTTTTTTGTTCTGTAGGAGAAGATAGAAACGCACCATCTCCTTCAGCAATACAGGTTAAAAACAAAAATTATAAAATTTACAGCAGTAAAAAGGTTTGCCAATTATTCTTACAAATAATTCAGACAGCAATCCGGGGGTTGGGGGAGTATTTTGTGCTGTAAAAGCTTTCAAGGGAAAAGAAAAAACTGAGCCCTCGAATCAGTATTTTAAAAACATGGACATGAGGTTGCTAAAAGTGCTGTCCCTTTTCCAAATTCCAACCCATGTTTCTTGTCTCAAAGTCAAATTCTTCTTTGTCTGTTTTTTTTTTTGGTCCTTCATCTCTCCGCCATTGATGCACTGTTTTTCACAGATCTAAACTAAAACCAGTCCTTGCGTTTTCTAATCAAACTAATCAACCCCACAGTTTTTTTATTTTTTATTTTTTATTTTTTGAATCTCAAAAGCTAAAGAATCTTGATACAATGAAAAACTGTTGGTTTCGCTGATAAGATTCACAGAAGATAGCAAGTGTTTTCCCCTATTTCTAACAATGATCAAGAATTGGAAATGCGACAAATGTAGAACCCAATTTATTTATTTTTCAAAAAAAAAAAAAAAACGGAAAAGGATTCAAACAAAACCCGAATGCAAACTAATGTATTTGTGTAAGAAAGATGACAAGAGACAAAACCTCACTTCTGCTCCAATGGCGTCGAGGAATTTGCAGCGTGTAATAATGTCCAGCAAAGATCGAATGTTTTGAGCAGGATAAACGCCGCAACGTCGCCCCGATTTTGACTTTATATATGCTCACAAAACCATATATATATATATTATATATATATGTGCAGGTTAGAGAGAGAGAGAGAGAGAGTCAGCCCACAACCCGCCGAAGGGCTTTCTAGAGAGAGAGAGAGTGGTGGCCATAATGAAATGAAATGAAATGATAATCCTCCACCCTCGTCTCCTCTCTCGCTCTCTCTCTCACCGCTGAAACCTACAGTCAACTCTCTCTCTCTCTCTCTCCAAATTCAATTCATCTGGCGACGACTCTTCCTCCTGCACTGCCGTCTGCACTATCTTCAATATGGAAGGAAAATGGTAATAAATACAGTAAGCACTCCACCCATAACAGACCAGATCGTATTCATTTCATTTCATTTATTGTTACAACGACACAACTATCCACTTGCTACTTAATCTTTATTATACACAACAGAAACAATTACTTAATTAATTTAATTACCAATGGACCACCAATTTTTTACTTCCTCCTTCTCATTCTCATGAAACGTTTTCTATAATACCTCCTGCTTAAAAATATACCGAGTCCGAAAATTACGTTGGAGCACGACAAAAAAACAGTGTTTGAACCTCCAAAAGTAAACCTTAAAAATTTTTCGGTAAGCACGCTAATAAATCTGACCATGTCCGAGCTCATAAAGGTCGGACTGTGCCTAGCCCAGCCCAATTATTAAAATTAATATTCAATATTTAATATTTGTATATATATATTAACTAATAAAATAGTAACATAAATTTAAAAACATGACATCGTTGATTTTACAAGAACATGAAGAATATTTTTTAAAAGCTTTATATGAATTTAAAGAACTCCACATCGAGTTAAAGTTTAATCCTCTCATGTGAAAGATATATTTTAATGTTGATTAACAAATTTAATAAAATTTCTTTTATAAGTTAAAATTATATCAAACAATAATACGATGTGAATAAACAATACACTATAATAATATAAAACACATAAATTATATTAATATAATGTAAATATAATATCTGAACTAACGACATATGATATAAATACAAATAACACACAATATAATAACAGAAAATACATTATACAAAGACAAACAATATACTCCCTATTCTCGTCCAAATCTATTATCATTTTCCTTGTTTTGAGTTTTCATCCAAATTTATTATTGTTTCATTTTTTAGTAAAAAAATACCATTTTTTTTTTACCAAAAAAAAAGTAAAGATTTCTATTTTTACATATTTTTCTTAAAATTCGTGTCCGGTCAAATGAACACACAATTGGATGACGGAGAGAGTATAATATTTTCATAATGCAACTGCAATATATAAATTGACCACATATTACATAGCTCATATAAAACATAATTTAAGGACAAACATCAACATAATATAAAGATAGAGAATATATGAATTATCTTAACATAATATAAATAAGTAAAAATACATGACATGACATAGTTTCACATATAATGTATTACAATTGATTTTAACATAAAAATATTAATACAACACACCAATATACTTATACTTAACATAATGCATATTTCTTAAATAAAATAATATGTTGTCTGATTGTTTTATATATGCTGACGGGATAAATTAGTACCAATTTTTTCAATAAACATCACAATTATTCCTATTTAAATATCAATAATACAAAATACTCCATAATTTTTATTTCTCTAAGTCATTTGTGTTAGTTATGTCATGGGTTTGGCTTCTGCTCATTCGGACAGTGCTTCGGTAGTAATAAATAAAAAGAAATTATAGTGGTACGGACAATGGTTGAAAAATCAATTTCTATTTAATTGGTGAAGTCGCTAAAATAATTGCTACAACAACTATATGCATGAAAGTCCACTGAAAGACCATAGTATTATTATTATTATTATTATTATTATTATTATTATTACTCCTCCGTCCTAGAAAATATGGGACTATCAGTAACAATAATTATAGTTCAAGATTAAGATAATTAAATAATTTAATTAAAATTGAGAAAAATATAAAATTTAAAATACGATTAAAGTGCATAATTATTTTTCCAAAAATAGAGAGGACAAGTTATGTGGGACGGACGGACGAAAATAGAAAATAGGGACAAATTATGTGGGACAGAGGAAATATTATTAGTAAGGTAAACTGTTTTTTAAGTCCCGTAACTGACTCCCGTATCATTTTAAGTGGAGCATGTCGCAAACTAGTCTAATAAGTGAAAAATTAGTGCTCCGGCGCTGGAGACACCCGCGTAGCTCGCCGGAGGCTACGTGTAGATATTGTTATTTTTTTCATTTTTTAAAAATATTTTAAATTGATTTTAAATTTTATTTTCTTTTTTTAATTTTTTTTATTTGGTCCAATTGAAAAAAAAATTAAAAAATTAAAAAAATAATAAAATTCACGTGTTCGCCAGGTGTCGCTGACCTAGAGGGACACCTGGCGGACACGTGGCTTCCGGCGAGCCACGCGGACGTATCCGGCGCCGAAAGATTAAAACAACAAAAAATTTTCACTTATAAAACTAGTTTGCGATAGACTCCACTTAGGAGACTAAAATAACAATGAGGTCTAATTACAAATTAAAAAAACAGTTTACCGATGTTGTTATTATTATTATATGTTTGGCCTTATTTGTCGGACAACATGGCTGAGCAAAGTCTCCAATTTTGTTATTGCATAAATATTCTTATTAATAATTTTAAAGCATAAAAAATACTCTTATGTCCAAGTTATTTTGTCTCATTTAACTTATACACAGAGTTTTATATATTATATAATTAGTAAGTAATTTAAAAATATATTAGTAAAAATAATTATGATTTAATAAAAATAATTTAAATTAAAATTAAAATGACTAAATATTTTAATTTAAATAATTTTTTTTATAAATTATGAATTTTTAAATACGATTAAAGCGTATAATTATATATTTTTTTTTTAAAAAATGATAAATTATATGAGACGGATAAAAATAAAAAGAATCGACAAATTAAATTGGACAAATGAAGTATATATTTGACGAGGAAAATGAATTAGGAAGTGAACGATGGTAATTCAATTATGAATTAAATGGACTTTGAAATTAATAAAAGCTATAAATGATTGGACAAACTTTTGGGCCTTACCATAAAAGCTCAACACTTAAATGGATTCGATGGATCATTAATTAAGTGGACTTACCTCGTATTAAATTAGTTTTTAAAATACTGATTCTCCCCTGAGAACTCTCGTAAAAAGAATATTATTTATTTTTTGTAATATTAATATTATATTAATTTGTAACAAAAATAATAAAAATTGTTCTTATTAGTCCGGTACAATATAAAAATAATAATATTTATATAATATATTATAAATTATAAATATATTTATTATGTTAGATATATAGTTATTTTGAGACGGATAAGAATAAAAAGTGATACTCTACTTATGGACGAATGAAGTAGTAAAATTTGAACTTATTTAGCTATTTTATTTTTCTGATGGTTCAACCAGATATATTATAACTGAAACAAAATATTATATGGTCCAGTTTTGATTTTAGATTTCTTAAAACTGCCGGCTTGACCTTTTTTAAAAATATCTGGCCTAAGCTTGACTTACAAGCATGAATTTCTTTTTTAAAAGCTTGAACCTGATTTTTTTAAAAATCTGCCCTAGCTTATAAGCTATTTAAAAGGCTACATAATATTTTTGTTTATTTATTTATTTGCAAGTTACTAGAAATAAAAAAAAGTACAACAATTATTTTATACATATAAAAATTAAAAATTCTATTTTTTATAATAAATTTATAATTAAAATTATTTAATAAATATTATTATTAAATAGAAAGTTATTTTTAATATATAATAATAAAAATATATTTTATAAAATAATAATAATAATAATAATAATAATAATAATAAAATAGGCCGGTTAGTTAATTTTTTTTTTCTTTAAGTCTAAGCATATTCTATTTAAGTAAAATAGTTTTAAAGAAAATTTTGATTGCTCTTTTTATTAAATAGATCAGACCATACTAGGCCTTATGTAGGCCAAGCCGTAGGCCCTGATAGGCGGCCTGACCTATTCTTATCCCTACCTTGAACCCACGGGGTTGTTCGTTTAAGTCAGTAATATTTTTAATCGCTTAAACTTATATTATACATTAAATAAATTAAAAAATAATAATTTCTTTATTTAATCTATAAAAATGAATTTTTTTTTTTGGTGTGTGTTCGAAAGAAGAAAGAAGAAAAATGAAGTGTTTTGTGTATCGTATGGGGATACAAATCATCTCACTCCATTATATCAATTTCTCACTCCATTAAGTGGTAAACAACAAATTAAATTGGGTATATAGTTAATTGTTTGGGCTTGTGCTTGGGCCTATGCTGGAAAGCCTATTAAATTCAATTTTACAAATTTGAATTTAAATGATAATTGACTAATTTAAATATACTGATTCTTTTATATTTCATATTCTCAGTATAGATCCAATATTTTTAATATTTACTTATCGCGCGATCAATCAAATATTTCACCTATTTCGTGACCACAATTTAATGTAATACAAGGGAAAAGATTGTTTCCATAGGGATTGTACATGTGATTCACTCTTTCATGTTCTAATGCAGTAAATAAAATGAAAATTTTCTTTTATTATCTAACGAAGACAAAATAACAAAGCAATTAAATCAACAGGGAACTAGCTATCAAGGGGATGTCTGGCTCAATAGATGATATAGTTATGACACCTGTGTTTTATCATTAATTCAATAAAGTTAATTCTTATTAAAGTATCAATAAAATAGTTATAGTTATTAACAAGCTCTGACAACCAATTTTCTTTATAGTGTAGATAATTAAGGCACGACTGTTGACTACCCCTAATTAAGCAAATAAACTTAAGTGCGTCCATAAGAAATATTGCTTAATCGCATTCAAATTTAGAAAAACCTAATTCAAAACAATTACTACCTAAGAGGAGAAATTAATTTGATTGTCTAACCCCCGGGAAGGAACTATTCAACCCGGTTGTCACCGATTCAAGTGCAAATACAATTACGGATATCATACCTGAATTAACTTTAGATTATCAGACTAATTCAAATATCGGTACCAAAATATTCAATCAATCTAACAATCACAAATGTTATTATCAGAATTAGAAAAATATTGATAATAAAAAAAAACTTTTATAAAGAAAATTAAGAATCTCCAAAACAAAAAAATCAAAACACTGTCATCCATCAAACCAGAAAAGTATCTACTCCATAATTAAATAACAAAGAACAATAGAGAAAAATAAAGTCATACTGAGAGGGGAAATCTTCTATGTCGATTTGCTCATGCGCGATCTATGAGTTTGTTAGTCTCCTGCTCCTGTACGTATTTGCTCAGGCCGTTCTCCCCCTCTTTCTGTGTGTGATCCTCTCATTTTATTTAATTTTTGCCCTAATTATTGATGTGGTTAGTCATGGTCTAACTTGATTGTCTAATGCTGATTTTTTTTCTTTTATTTTTTTCCAAATTCACGAAATTTGTCGTTTTTTTTCTTACATGTCGGAAATAAATAATACGCATCGAACTTAGGCAGAATCCAATCAAAATCAATCGAATATCGCATATAATATGATTATTTAACGCATACGATTTATAGCTATCAACTTATAAGAGGCTTAAATGATATATGAATAAATTATTAATTTATAAATTTAATTTATTACTAAAATAGGTATACATGACTTAGAAGATATGATTTTAATTAGTGACAAATTGAAATTGATGGTTTCTAACCAAAATGATGATTTGAAACGTTTGATCAAGTCAATTTGATAATTTTTTTGAAAATTTCAAGTTTTGAAAATAGTTTTTTTTAGAATAATAAAAAAAGAAATTGAATATATAATATAATATAAATAAATATTGGATGTAGTATTTTTAACTTAAAGTTTGAACTAAATATAAAAATGTATGACCAGTAGTGAGAATTCAATCGAATTTTTAACATGAAGTTGAAACACGAATTTTGCATTTCTAGCACCTTTGTTTACATATAAAAATTTGAAAATTTTAATACTATTAATCTATAATATATATATATTGTTCAAAAATACTAAATCAAATACATTTTTTATCACAAAATATCATATAAAAAATACTATTTTTTTTTAAAAAAATTATTTTAAAAATTTTTAAAACTTCAAAACTATAAAAATGACTGTATAAACAAAATATTTGACATTATTTATTTATTTAGTTTTATCAAGTTGGATTGCAAGACTCTGTATCAGAAGGCTTATAAATTGGTTCAATGTAATTAACAACAAAGATTTCATTATTTCAAAAAAGATCATGACCAACTATTGCATTTGCAACCATGGCATGGCCACTAGGGGACCTAAGGATATTGCCTCCTAATTATTTTAATTGTCAAATTTTATTACGTAGTATTTGTAAATAATTTTAAAATTATATATTTAATAAAAATACTATTATTAAGAATATTCAATCTACATATCCAGAAAAATTAGTTCAACCAATTCTAATATTCAAACATATCTTAAAAAAAGATAAGATAAGAAATACAAACTAATGTTATAGGTTTGTAATTTTTTTTTATTTTAATTTTATTATATAATTTTAAAATTATTATATTTTAAAAAAATTTCTGTCTCAATCAAAATTTTTCCCTGGCTCCACCACGTTTGCAACCAACTTCATTTCATTTATGTCGTAAAATGGAAGAAAAAATATATGTGAGCAATATATTTAAAATTCAAAAATTCGATTTGAACCAAATTAAAATTTTAAAATTTGGTTCGGATTGATTGAGATTGAATATTTTATAAATTTTGAATTTTTAGATCAATATGTTAAAAATTCGAACTACTCCGAAATTCAAAATATAATATTTTAATATATATTTAATATTTTAATGAAAATATAACATTTCAATAAAAATAAAAAATCAAAATTATTAATTATCTTTTAATATATTTATTTTTATTTATTATATATATTTATATTATAAAAATATAAAATAAAATTTAAAATTTATAAAAGTAATAAAAAATATAGAATTTCGGATTATTTTGAAATTTTCTATTTTTGGTTCGAATTTTTTTATGCAGATTTTGGTTATTACAGTTTGATTCTGATTAATTTTTCGATTTAAATTTGAATTTTCGAATCGAAGTGAAGATCTTAATACTTAGTACCCCTAAGAAAAAGTGTATGAAAAAAAAAAAAAACATATATATAAGAAAGTTGTTTTTTCTTTTTTTCTTTATTGTTCCTTGCAATTCCGTACAAAATATTTTTCCCTACCTAAGCTAGTGACACAAGAACAACCCTCCACCATTTTATTATGTACGATCTGATTATTACACAAGTATATGAAAACACGACCCAAATTTCTCTATTTATGCATATGTATATATATATATATATATAGTCGTATAAAACAATTAATACCATACATGCATGCACACGAAGGAGGTGCAAGAAAATGTCGACATCGCCGATCTCTTCGCCGCCACGCCCAAAATACCTGCAAGAGGAAGAGGCATCGAGCCAAGAATTCAAGAGCTTCATTTCGACTCTACCCCGACAAAAAGGATGGGTAGTGTTAAGATATTTTAGATATTTAATTTATGATTTAAACTAAATTGTCTAATTAGATTAATTTGTTATTGTTAAACTTTCTCATTTTTAGGGCGTTGATTGGGATTTTTCAGCAATATACTGATTACTTCAGTTAACATGTAAAATACTATATATAACATATAAAAATAGAACAAACAACAATATAGTTCTAGTTTATATATGTGTTGAGTTCGATTCTAGTATATACTCTATGAACTATTATCATATGTTGTATTTCTATTATATAAATATATTAGTGATGTTAAATTTATATTAATGTACTGTCTGGTATATATTTAATTAGTAACAATTTTTTATTTGAGTGTATCCGGTTTAGGCATGAATCAACATATACTATAAAGGTAAACCGACTTATATTTATACATTTTTTTTTATTCATATTTATAGTACAATCTATATATTACTCTCTTCGTCCACTTTGAAAGTTTGCATTTACCTTTTATGTCATTATATTTAACATTAAAAATATCATTTTATTTATATAAATTTTTATACAAATGTCATATTTGTACTATAAGATACTAATATAAGTATTTTTGTCATTTTTACTTAATTTGTAGAATGTTTTAATATAATAATTAATATTTAAAGATCAACAAAAAAAAAAAAAAAAATACAAACCTTTATAATAGACGGAGGAAGTATATTATAACTTTATTTTATAACACAACGTAGCTGAGATATGTACAAACATATGCCGGTCACTATGCTGATCTCGTCAAATCAGCACCATGCTAAAGTTCGTGAACGTTAAGGAGCTGAGCCGAACAACATAAACATGTTCGTTTGGTTAACGAACGAGACCGAACTTTATTCGCGAATGTTTGTTTAAATAATATATTTATTATAAAAATTATATATACATATAAAACTATAATTTATAAATAAATAAAATATTAATTTAAAATATATAAATAAAATAATTTTAAAATTTCTTTTTAATTTATATATAATTTTAAAAAGTGAGACAACAAGCTCGAACGAGCTTAAACGAGCCGAACACAGGCTCAAACAATATAAATTCTTAACGAGCCGAGTTCGAACACTACGAACGAACTCGAAAGCTTAACGAACGAACACAAACCTTGTTCGTTAACGGCTCTACCTGCTGCTATCCAATTTATATCATCACATTACTTTGAAATTCTGCAAAATGTAACAGGTAGTATCGAACATTTACCAGTATCAAGGTTTCTGGTACGCCGCCAATCATCTCCAGGGCCTGTTTTCCTGTCATAAAAACTTCAATCCCGAAGATTCCGACATCTTCCTCGTCACCACTCCCAAATCAGGCACCACATGGCTGAAAGCCCTAATCTTCACTTTATTGAACCGCCATCGCCACCCTGTCGGCGAATCCCATCCTCTCTGCAATTCCAGCCCTCACGACCTCGTCCCCTTCCTCGAAATCAATCTCTACGCCGACAGCCAAAACCCTAATCTCGCCTTCTTACACACTCCCAGGCTCTTCTCCTCGCACATTCCCTACAGCTGCCTGCCCGAGCCCGTCAGAAATCGCTGTAAAATCGTGTACCTTTGCAGGAACCCTAAGGACACGTTCGTGTCCCTTTGGCACTTCACCAACAAGCTGAGGCTGCAAGAAATGGGCGCGAATTCGATGTCACAGGTATTACATTTTGTATAATTTCAAAGTTTCTTTCTTTTTTTTTTTTTTTTTTTTTTTTATCAACGAATGAATCAATAAAAGATACAAATTGGATAGACTCAACTTTATGAAATAAATATAATCAAACAATAACTACTTGATGTAAAATAATATAAAACAAGTTACATTTTTTTACGTATTGATATTTGAATATTAATTATATCAAAATATAATACAAATAAAAAAAAATAAAGACAAAATACTTTTATTAGTTTCTTATGATACAAATACAATAACATTTGTATAAAAATTGTACAAATATAAAAATATTAATATTAAATATAATAAAGCAAGAACTAAATATAATTCTTTTAGCCGGACGAAGAAATAGTATTTTCTCCTCGCGACGAAAAAAATTTAAGCTTTCTATTTTTATTTGTCCAAACAAAATATTAACATTTACATTTTAGTAAATATGGACAATACTATATATTATAATATTATTTCAATTATACATATTTTTATTAATACCACAAACCTATCATTTAAAGTAAAAGTAATATAATCAGTACATAAGAATATCATCTACTATCATTCAAACAATACTATACTTCTTAATTTCCTCATCTAAAATAAATGTTGAACTTTGGCACGGACCAAAGAAGTAAAAATCTAATTTAAATCATAAAATAAAGGGGTTGATTAAACCGGTACTGATCATTTAAACTAGACAACATATATAATAAAGGTAGACAAAAAATAATATAGTTTTACATATCACAACATATTATTAATTTCAAAATAATATACAAATATAAATCTTCATAGCACATGTTTCTATATTACATTAATAGGGAAGTTTACGGTTCTGATTTTCCATATCAACACCCATAAAATACAAAAATAACACAAGTCTTTATTAAAAACAACACGTGCTATTTGTAATAATGACATGTGCGCTTTGTTTATAATCACACGTGTGTTGTACAAGTGTATGTTATGTGCTGAAATAAACCATTGCAGGTATTGTATGAGACTATATCATTCGTTGTTAGTTCATGTATTGTGTTTGTATTATATGAATATAAATAATGTACTGTCACTAATATTATCGTATGTTGTTTGGTAGCTCTGTGCGTTATTAGTTCATATGCTGTTGTTTGTATTATATTAATATAAATGATGTGTTGTCACTGACTTTACTGTATATTATTTGCTAGCTATCTGTGTGCTGTTTAGGACAGTGTTAGCCGCCGCCTACATAAACACTCTAACCGCTCCCGATAAACTAATAAATATGTGAACAACAGGTTTTCGATTTGTTCTGCAATGGAGTCAGCCTGTACGGCCCCTTCTGGGATCATATTCTGGAGTATTGGCAAGGGAGCAAGGAGAATCCTGAGAGTCTGCTTTTTCTGACATTCGAAGGCTTGAAAGATAGGCCTGGATTTCATCTCCGGCACCTGGCGGAGTTCCTCGGCCGGCCGTTGTCGTCGGAGGAAGAGGAATCAGGCCTGGCGGAGGAAATCCTGGAATTCTGCAGCTTTCAGAATCTCAGCGCCACGGAAATCAACAGGAATGGGAAACTCTCGTCGGGGGAGGTCAACTGTGCGTTTTTCCGGCGGGGCGAAACCGGAGACTGGAAGAATCATCTGTCCGATGAAATGGTCCAACGGTTAGATCGAATTACTGAGCAGAAGTTCAGTGGGTCGGGGCTGGTGCTCTAATATTGTTCTTATTTCTTGTGTTATTAATAAATAAAAAAAACACTCATATATATATTTTGTTTTGTATTATATTGTATGTGCTTGCTTCTGGTAATTGGCTTTTGATGGTAGTGGCATCTTTTTTTGTCCGGAGAGTACAATATGTTGAAATTCTTCTACTCGTTCGACAATATTTGTCATCTACCATCACATTACCTAATATAGTATTTCTTGTCGTGCAGTTTCGCAGTTTCTATGTGCCCACGATGTATAATTCGCATGCGTCTGCTGATCCGCACCGAACTCTGGGGTGATTGGGCCATCGTGCAATACGAACATGATAAACCTAATCTTCTTCTGCCACCTCTTAAAGTCCACTCCCGTAAATAGTTCTGGAACTTGTACATAGGCATCATCTGTGGGCCAAGCCTAGGACCAACAGTTTGGGCCGCGAATGAAGCAGAGAGTGCGGCTCCAAACCCAAGAAATCCCCGGTATCCCCAGGGGCAAATCCAAAAAATAAAGGGCTATCCATAAAAGGAATTGGCCCAAGTGGATGAGCGAGTACCTTGTCTGCGGCTCCGGCAACTCCTCCGGCGGTGGCTCCGGAGATTCCTCCGGTGGTGGCTCCGGCGACTCCTCCGGCGTAGATTCTGGTGACTCCTCCGGCGATGGCTCCGACGACTTCTCCGGCGGAGGCTCTAGCGACTCCTCCGGCGGTGATTCTGGCGGCTTCTCCGGAGACGGCTCCGGTGGCTTCTCTGGTGACTTTTCCGGCGGAGATACTGGAGACTTCTCCGGCGGCGGTTCCGGCGGTGGCTCCGGCGGCGACTTCGGCAGGGGTTGACATTATCGCAGAGTATTATCTAATTTTCGATTGTTGGAATATATGGGTATTGCGAGAATAAAAGTGAAATCGAGTCAAGGATGGATCATCTTTCCGAAAATTAGATACAACCTGATAGTGTCTCCGATGGCTGGTGTTCTAACCCAAAGATAAAACGGTTTTCGTCTCCAATGAGAGTGACACCTATGATTGTTGGAGCTCTGGCGAACAAGAACGAGAGAGGAACTGAGTTGGGGAGGTTGTCGGAAAGCTAGGAGAGGTGAGAGAAGGATGAGAGAATTGTTGATGCTTATGTTTAGAACTAAGGGGGAGACCCTTTATATAAAGGTCTCAACTCGGCCAAAATGGCAGGGGATCAATTACTATCATAATTACGACCTTAATTATTGATGTAATTTATTTTAAATTCAAACATTCCGTTTGAAGCAGCCGTCATTGATTTTAATTACAAAATTTCTGTTTGTGACGATCGTAATTTATTCTAGTTTCAAACATTTCGTTTGAAATTATAATAAATCTATCCAACGGATAATATTTTATCCAAATAATACTGCGGGCCATATACCCGGGTTTAATTTAGGATTGCACAATTTGATTTGTCTCGAGAGAGGGACAGTATAGCCAAAATATTAACCAAATTCCATACACAATAAATAAATAATATTTATTTATTTCTTCCAAATTAATTTAATTAATTTGGTACACCGGCCCGTCGCATTTTCACTCACAAAATAATCGATTGCAAAATAACCGATTATCCAACATATTATAGAACATATTTCACCATTTATGTTTGATTTTGCTTTAAAAGTATTATTTTCTCTCATAAAAAATATTACATTCACCGGCAAAACAATTGATAATTACCTTGGCAAATAGCCTCGGAAACAATTTTAAGACTATAAAAATATGATTTTAAATAATATTATATGATGTAACTTCGAAAGCTCCGAGTCCATTATGTGACTGGTGTTTAGAACTCGGAAATTCCAAAACTTATTATATTTAATGTTTTTTAATATTTAAAATGTATAGAAAATTAAAACCCATTCGGAAGCCGGTGCTATGGGTTTTGGAAATTTTGAATCTTTATTAAAAATAATATTTTTAATATTTAAATACAAAAAATTTTTAGTCCATTTCAAAGCTATATTATGAGTTTTGAAAATTCCGAAGCCCTCTTAAATATCATATTTTAAATATTAAAAAAGTAAATAAATTCCAAATCCATTATGAAGTAATGCTACGAGTCTCTGAAATTTGAAAGCTTTCTTAAATATAATATTTTTAATATTTGAATAAGTTTCAAAAATCCGAGTATATACAGAATTGTTAGTTTAAGTCTCGAAAATTTTGAAGTTATATTATATAAAAATATATTTTAGTTATTATTAATATCGGAAGCTTCCGAGTCTGTAAAATAATTCAAACACCCCGCCTTCAGTAAAATAATTCAAATATCCCGCCTCCTCTCTTTTTTTCTTCGTCTTCTCCTTCTTCCCCTTACCTTTTCTTCTTCTTCGCAGTTGCCAGAATAGCTAGCTGGAGGAAGCTGCTGCTGATGCCGTTCGGAGGTTGCCGGAAAGAGCTAGCCAGAGGAAGCCGTTGTTGATGCCACTGCTGATTTATTCAGTGGTCTCCGGAAAGAGCTGGCCGGAGTCGTCACTGTGAGATTTTACTTCTGATTTTACTATTTCAACTTTTTTTTTTCTCCAAAAATATCAAATCTAACACTCAATTTTTATTTATTTTATTACACTAAAATCTAATTTTACATTCAAAACATCACATCAACACATATTTATATCACGTCAAATAACTATTTCAATTCAAAATTTTACTATTTAAAATCAAAATCAAAAGCTAAAACTAAAACCCCACAAGTAAACACACCCATAATTATATGTGTGTTTACAACCAAATGTCATATCCAGACGAACATAGTATTTAATACAAAAAAATTTTACACAATAAATAAAATACGAGATACTTTATTTTTTTTATATTTACTAAAACATAAGGTATATTATGAAATTCATCCAAAATATAGTAAACACTTAAGGGTGTGTTTGTTTGGGGGTTTGGATTTTGAATTGGGATTTGAATAGTAAAAGTTTTGAATTTGAATAGTTGTATAATATGATATAAATAGGTATTGATGTGATGTTTTGAATGTAAAATTATTTTTTAGTATAATATAAAAAATAAAAAATATGTGTTTAATTTGATATTTTTTGGGAAAAAAAATTAGATGAATAGTAAAATTTTGTTAAAATCTTACAAAGAAACATAAGTGTGAATAAAAATATATATATTATTAAAATATAAAACATATACGGGTAACCCGAAGAGAATCGACTATAATACTATATTAAAATATAAAATTAAAATTTCCTTAAACAAGACAACAATTATAAATATAATATAAATTTTTAAATATATCTTAACAAATACACTATGAGGACATTTATTTGATATCATATCATTATAATACATATATTCTTCTAATAAATTATATACTCGTATGATAAAATAATTTAATATCTACTTTAATTTGTTACTGTATCAAATTATTAATTTAATATGAAATATTTTTAATTATATGATAAAATTAATTTAGATATTAATAAAAGATATTCTTTTAAATAATACTTTAGTATTATTTAATACTCCTTTCGTCGCAATACAATAGTCTTATTTACCAATTTTTGTTTGTCCCAAAACAATAGTATTATTTCCGTAAATAATCATATCACTATAAAACTATCCCTACTTTTTCATTTTTATTACACAATTGCCACTACTTCTTACCTTAATACACTCACAAAGGCAAAATTTTTTTTTTATCTATACTTTTTACCAACTACCAATATAATATAATATCAATATTTCTTAAATCTCGTACCCAACTCAATTAAGACTATATTTATGAGATGGAGGGAGTATAATCTATAAAAAAATAATTTATTAATAATTTATTCTCATATTATTATAAGAGGACTTTATTTTATCCTAAATTATAATAATATATAGTAAGTATATTATTAGATTTATTGAATATTTATCCAAAGTCAACACATCCTATTTGTAGTATCTAATATAAATACACTGCATTAACTAATATTCCCTCCGTCCACGGATAAAGTATACATTTATTTTTAGCGCGGAGTTTAAAAAATAATAATATTTTAATTATAATGGGTAGATAAAAATAGTGAAATGACATTTTTGCCCTTGCTTTTTGGTATAAAAGTAATGATGTGATGTAAAGTAAAGGTATTTGTGAAAAAAAAATGGAGTATCTAATGAAATGGTTACTTTGCAATTGGACGTCCTAAAATAGAAATATGTATACTTTGTAGCTGACCGAGGGAGTGTATAACAATATATCAAACATCACTTTTATGTTTTGGAAAAGAATTATACTTTGTCAATCCTAGTTACTGTGTCAGTGTTAGTGTTAGTGTAGACACAAAAATTTAGGAGGAGTATAATTAGTAAATAATTAATAATGTATTAGTAAAATTAATTACAATATAATATAAATAATTATAAATTAAAGTTATAATAACTAATCAGTATAATAAAAGTTAAAAGATTATAAATTATAAAATTTAAAATGTGATTAAAAATGTATAATACTTTCTCAAAAACAAAAAATGACATAACATGCGGAACGAACAAAAATGAAAAGTTTGATAATATATGTGAGGTGGAAGGAGTACATTTAATCATATTTTAAATTTTTAAATTTATAATTTATTTTAAATTTTAATTAAACTAATTAATTATTTTAATTTTAATTTATAATTATTTTTATCGATATTTATTTTTACTAATACATTATTAATTATTTACTAATTATATCGCATATATATTCCTATGTCTACGGTAAAATGGATATAATATTTGGATAAGAGGGAGTATTTTACATGTGAGTAAAAAAAGAAAAAAGGAAAGCATCATTGTGCCGAATATATTTGATTATTAATTAGGGCTTTATTAAGTATGGTTCCAACTAGGGGGATGGCTGTAAGGTCAAGTTTTGCCGTCTCACCTAGAACAAGCAAATTTATTTTTTTCGTTTTTTTTTTTTTTAATTTATTTTTTATTTTTTTATTTTCTTCATTAGTATGTAAGACTTTGTTAGGTTGTTAGACAATTCGCAACAGAGATACCTACTTTTGGGTATTACAATTATTTTTACGGTCCATTTTATATTCTCTTTCGGAGATAGAAGTAGGGATATTTTATTTTATTTTATACTTACAATAGAGATATTCATATTAATTTTTATTCTCATATTACATATATATATTATTTTTTAATTATACTTTTTATTTTTTAATTAATTACATTATTATTATTTTTTTGTCAATATTTTGATTTATTAAAAATTTATGAAAACAAAAAGTTATATTATTCATTATTTAATTTATTTATTTATATCCAATATATTTTATTTTTAGTATAATTTTTATATTATTTAATTGTGTTAAAATATATACTTATATTTTATTCAATAAATTAAATTATTTTGTTGATATTGATTTGTTTAATAAAATTAAATAATATTTTTATTTATATATTTTAAAATTTAAATTAATAAAATATATCCAGTATTGATATTATTTTATAGGATATAAAATTTTATAAATTATAAAAATATTATAAATTTAAAATATAATAATATATTTAGAACTATAAATCAATAAAATCATTTATATACATATCTAATATATATGTATATATATTTATGTATGGAAGAAAACATCTCCTATTTATTTTTGTTTATTTATTTATTTTTTTGTAAAACTTAGAGCAATGACAATTGTTATTTAATAGAAACGGTCCTCTACTGTAAAATATTTTTAGTGTTGGAAGCTATATAATATTATTTCATCATGCTCTAAAAGTTCCATTTGTATGTTAATTTTTAAATATTAATTATTATATTAAAATATAATATAAATTACAAAAATATTACAAAAATATTTTCATTAGTGTCATGTAATACTGATAGAAATTTTTAAAAAATATATACAAATATAAACATATTTTTAATGTAAAATACTCCCTCGTCCCATAACAAAGTATTCATTTTTCCATCTTAGTCTGTCATATAAAAGAGTATCCATTTTATTTTTTAGTACCTAACATTACAAATACCTTTAGAACTTATAATATATTGTACTAATAAGGTTATTTTAGTCATTTCTACTTTATTTCTACTGTATCCCAATATAATACTAATATTTTTAAAACTACGTACAAAAAGTAAATAGATATTTAGTTTCGGAATTAAAGGAGTACAATAATGTAAAAAATAAATGTCACCGCGCTGACGAAAGGAGTATATAATAGGCTAAAAAATGGGATGGCCACCAAGACAGTAGCGCGCAGGCAATAGCCGTCCAAGTCTTCCATTTCATTCTCTCACACCAAAATTGCGCACGCACATCCGTATCCTCTCTTTGTCTCTCTATTTATTTGCCACTGTATATTTTTTTTATCAATTTCTTTCTTCTTCCTTGAACAAGTAAGAGGGAAGGGAAATATAGATAAATTTTTTCATCCAACCATTGTATTTGGCGCACGTCGCGGCTGCTCTTAGGCACTGCAAATAGAGAAAACATTTCCTATTTTTCTTTAAGAAAAAAGCTGAGGTGGCGCACGTTATGGCTGCTCTTATACTGCAAATTAAGTCAATGCTCATTCATGTCCTCCATTGATGCTATACAAAATTTCTTACTTCACTTATATATATATATATATATACTGCAAGTAATCTATACTCATATCAACAAATTCTCACCAAAATTAAGCTTCTCCTTTTAAAAAAAAAACAAACCACCAAAAAATGTCGTCGTCCTCATCCGATCGAAGCTCTTCATCGCCACCAAAATACCTCCAAAAGGAAGACGGAGTGAGCCAAGAATTCAAAACCTTCATCTCCTCTCTCCCCAAACGAAAAATTCATCTCACACCCGATCTCTACCAGTACCAAGGCTTCTGGTATCCTGTCATGATTCTTCGAAGTGTCATTGCCTGTCAAAACCACTTCCATCCTCAATCTTCCGACATCTTCCTCGTAACTTTTCCTAAATCAGGCACCACCTGGCTGAAATCCCTCCTTTTCACTCTTTCCAATCGCCGCCAATTCGCCGCCACCGATGCAAATCACCCGATTCTTACCACCAATCCCCACGAGCTCGTCCCCACTCTTGAAATTGCTCTCTACGTCAACAATGAAAACCCTAATTTGGACAACTTCGAATTCCCTTCTTTCCCCAGGCTTTTCTGCACCCACATGCCTTGGACTGGTCTACCTCAGCCTATCAAGAATTCATCCACCAATAAAATCGTGTACTTGTACAGGAATCCTAAGGATGTGTTTGTCTCCTTATGGCACTTTGGGAAGAAGCTGTCCCCCGAAGAAAGCAAGAAAATGGGGCCCGATTCTTTCGTCGAAGGTTTTGAAAGCTTTTGTGAGGGAGTAACTCCATTTGGGCCATTTTTTGATCATATCCAAGATTACTTGAAAGAAAGCAAGAAGAATCCTAGTAGGATATTATTTCTGAAATACGAGGATATGAAAGAGCAGCCTGGATTGCATCTGAGGCGCCTGGCGGAGTTCCTCGATTGTCCGTTCTCTAGTGATGAAGAGGAATCTGGTCTGGTCGAGGATATTGTGAAGCTATGCAGCTTCGAGAATTTGAGCAATCTGGAAGTGAACAAGAACGGGAAAGTATCGTTTACTGGTGTACTCAATAGTGCTTTCTTTCATCGAGGAAAAATTGGAGACTGGAAAAATCATCTGTCGGAGGAGATGGCTCTAAAGCTCGATGGAATATGGGAAGACAAGCTTGGTGGATAAAGAAGACCAACAATGTTTAAGTTAATAATGATGATGATGATGATGATGATGATGATGATGTTGATCCTTTGAGATTATGAATCTAAGATCTCGAAGCATTTACTTCTCCCGTAATTCAAATTTATGCCTACTTTTCTTTTTACATGTTATAAAAAAATATTCTAGTTTCTTTTTAATGTAAAAATTTATTTCACTTTTGTATTTTTTTATTATGAAAGAAAAAAAAACATAATTAATCATTTTTATTAAAATATGTGTCTGATCAAATAAGTATAAGTTTGCATGGCAGAAAAAGTAATAATTTATTGTTTACCCAATTTGGCGAACAATGAGATTTATATTTGAGGGTTACCAATCTAATTCTTTCCACTAAAATTTAGGTAGAATATGAACATATACAATTGCACGAACTCCTCATATACAAACAAACAAACTAACCAACACAAAAGCAATATCATGCATCGATTATCCATTGCTGCGGTAATATTCTCCCCAAAGAAACAATCAAAAGGCTTCAAACTCAAGATTCATGTTCTGTTCTAGGATGTTATGGTGGAAACTATTATCTCATTCTCCTCCTTCATACCAATCTTTCTTTAGAACAAAAGCAAAAGTGATCTCACAAGTTCAACATCAAGCTTGGTCAACAAACTTCGATCTGGCCGGTGATTCGGTCATTCATACAAATTGAGCAAAAAACAGATCCAGTTATACGAAATGAAAGAATTACATTATTAATTTATGGGTTTTCTTTCAACAATATCCCTCAAGAATATAGAATAATATCACTTGCAAGAATGCAAAACTCATCTACTAAAAACAAGGCTTGTGATTTTTGAACAATGTCTGTGTTGGTGAATATGAACACTCGTCTAGTTTGTCTCGGAGATTCTGAGACTTTTATTAGTCTCAATTATTCATAATCTATTTTAATTAGTCTTGAAAATTCCGAATTTTTATTAGTTTCTGAACTTTTGAATCAGTTTTAATTAGTTTCGAAACTTCTGAACCTATTTTAATTAATCTCGAAAATTCCGAGTTCATTTGTTAGTCTCGAAGATTCCGAAACTATTTTAATTAGTCTCAGAACTTCTAACTAATTAAAATTACTTTCGAAAAATTTGAACCTTTATTAGTTTTGGAACTCCTGCTCATTCTTAATCTCGGAACTTCCAAACCTATTTTATTAATTTCGAAATTTTCGGAACGTATCAAATAATTTAAATTTACCAGCATAATTTTGATTTCATTTTATTTAGATATATATTTATAATTTATTTATTGTGTAAAAATATATAAAAAATAATTGATTAAATTTTTACAATATAAAAATAATTTAAATAATAAATTTAATAAATAATTAAATTAAAGGTAAAAATACATTTTTGGTCTCTTTTACTCACTAAGATGTCATTCAATTTCAAATAGTTTCACAATTAATTTTCGAATATTAATTATATATATTATTTTATTTTAATCAAAATTTTTTGAGACTATAAAATAATTCATCATTCCCGCTATCCTTCTATAGTTTTAAAAAATTTTAATATTAAATTTTTTCTTAAAAAAACCAAAAATTTTAAAAAATATTAAAATATAATTTTTTTGTCTAAACTATTCTCCCTAATTTAAAAAAAAAATGTAATATTAATTTTTTTTATTAAAAAATATCTAAAATATGAAAAAAAAACCCTAAAAAACTCTACACACCTACCACCATCAAATTAATTTTCTCCTTCATTTATTTCTTTCTCTCTTAAATTTTCCTCCTCCTACTACTTGAAGACGGCGGCGGCGACGATGGTGGATGCGGCAACCGCGGAGCCCGTCCTCCTCTTTCTTTTTCTTCTTGCTCAACAGGCGGCGGCAGCGGCCCGTCCTCCTTTAATTTTTTTTTTTCTTCTTCTTCTGCAAGCGGTGGCAGCGGCGGAAGCTCGTCTCCTTTTTCTTTTTCTTCTTCTCCGGTGTGGTGGCCGCAGCGCTGGAGCCTCCTCCTTCTTCTCTGGCGGCGGTAGCAGCCCCTCTTCCTCTTTCTTCTTTTTCTTCGGCGACAATGGCGGTGGGGGCGGTTCGTCTTCTTCTTTGACTACCGCTAGGGGTGGCAGGACAGTGGTGGCTTTGGGATAAAATATTTAAAATTTGCTTTGGAAATTCTGAGACGGCTAGTATAGGTTCGGAAATTTCGAGGCTATTCAAATTAACCTCCAAAATTTTGAGACTATCCAAAATAGCCCTGGAATTTTAGAGACTTTACAAAAAAAAAAAAAAAAGCATGAAAAATTAGTTTCAGGTACCAATCCGAAACAAATTTCGAAACTAATTCAAAGTAGCTTCAAATTTAGTCTAAAATCCGAAGTTTTATATAAAAATTATTTTTACACTAAAAAATAAGTAAAATTTGAGATTTAGGGGTGGTGCCCGTCATAGATATGATATAGACGAGAGATAAATAAGATAAGGTAATTGTTAAGAAGGGATCCGAGCATCCAAACTCCAATCAATTGGTGATAGGTAGAGTGACCCTTCATCTTATATATTATGGGAGTCCACACATTTAACAATGTGGGACAATATTCAGCAGTAATAAAGTTAAAGTAATCATCATAATTGATGAACTAATAATAATAATAAAACAAGTAGATGATAAAACTATTATAATTCTAGTATGCAACAACGAAAAATATTGACAAAACCTCAAACGAGAGTGAGTACAATGCACATCTTTGAACACATACGACAATCAAGAGGAAATCAACAAATAAATGGGAATACCGCCCCAAATTTATCATTGTCTTGAAAATATTCCAATATAATCATAAAATATTCTAATTCAGATAGTTACAAAAGAACCTTTCAATATTCATAATCATCAATCAAGAATGCAAAATTCACAAAAACAGACTAAAATTATCAACCAACAATAATACATACATGCAAAATACTTGTGTTAAATCTTTGAATTCACAGCAGTTATTCCAATATAACACTTTTTAGTAAAGATCCATCATTTTTAGAGAGTCCATATTCGGAAAAAAATTGAGAAATTTCCTACTAGTAAAATTTTTCCCTCTTCTATCAACAAGAGGCATAAAAATAAAACAATAAATAACAAATAAATCCAGTGATGCCATCGAGTCATTTATGAAGTCTATAACATGTGAACAGAAAATTAAAAAAATGGCAGATTTAAGGTTGAATATTATATACATCATCAATGGGTAAACAAGCATGGATATAGTTAATGAATACAAACTAGACCGGTAAAAATAGAGTAAGTAATTAATAAGAAACTCGATATTTTGAAGTACATAATTTTTCCAAAGGCCTCCATAATTCAAGGTCAATAAACCATACTACAGACACAAACAAAACATCTAGATTAAACTAGTCAAATTTTACAGCAATACAAATACTATAAACTATAAATGTTTTTTGCACCAAAAATAATTTCAAGATAAGCATCCCAACACTATATCAAGTATAAACAAATCTGCAATTCTGTCAATAGTATTTTTCCCCATTTGATCTGTGGAAAGCCACCATTTGTCTTCGTATATTAAGCATCAATGTTCAATTTGATTGTGGACCATGAAAACGTAGCATTTAAGAAATAAATCATTGAGAATTTAAACAATAATAATAAATAGATTCTTTAATTAAACAATAATTAAAGTTTGGGAAGGAACACATCATGGGCATAAAACCTAATCTCAACCCCCAAAAGTAGGAAGAAAATAGACGCAAGATGGAATAATAGAGAGAGTGGTTTAATTTGAAAGGATAAAATTTAATTTGGATAAGATGTGTGTTGTTGTATGCGTTGTATGAATTTTACTAAATATAATAAAAAAAAATTAAAAGTAAAATTACTTCATAAATCATAGGGAGTGAGGTCCACTACCTAGTGTCTATTTCCTTCCTGCTTTTGGGGTTGAGATTGGGCTTTATGCTCATGATATGTGCCTTCCCAAACTTACCATAACTCACTTTACGCCTTATAGCTGGATGGCTCCGTGGCTTGGGGGCCCCGGCCCCGCCCTGCCTTCATCTTCAAGCCTTCTCTTTTGTAACTTCATCTTTTGGAGTTGTTTTGCTTGAAGTTTGATCCTCTGGAGCCTTTTTCTTTGGAGCCTTGTTGTCCGGCTAATAGGGGCTCTGGCTGAGTAGGAAGCTTTGGCTTTGGGAGACTCTTGTAACCTATGGGGTCTTGAAGCTTCTTCATTTTCAGTTTTGGTTACATGACTAACAATTGCAAAATTGCATTTAACATACAATAATCAAAATCTATGCAGCATAACAACTATTACAACAAAAACAATAATAATAATAATAAGTTGAAGGTTTACGTGCTTCCCGCGCAGATGTACTGGAAGGTTGATACTGAGAACCAGTCATGTGGCTATGACTTCTTTCGACAATTCGACCAGATCGGAGTCGAATAAAAAGAATTTGTTTTAGTGGTTAAATAAAATAATTAGATAATGACAATTTTCATACAATTTATATTAATTAAAATTCCAAGGAAATAGAATACAACAATGTGCCAAACACATAATTGAGATTCATTAATTATTAAAAAGTTTGTTAAAAACAAATATATCAATGGTTCATTGTCGCAGATTGGCGTCGCGGATCGACCCTAACCATTCCAGATACGTCGCAGCGTATTGGACAAATATCGGCCTATATAATTATTTTTTACAAAAATTTGTATTTTTAACAAAATTAATAATAAGCAATTAAAATTCATCAAATCATAAACATAATCAATTTTTAAAATATATAATATTAAAGAACATAACCACGGCGGGTGCATGCCTCAAATTGTTAACCTCTCGAACTGATGAATAAATTTTGTCAGCAATTCCACTATATACAACAAAATATTAGACAGTACCACATGCACTCCATAAATTCTAGGACGTGTTAAAAACATAACAATGCAAATATTTCCATCCCAACATAACAATACATACATCTCTATGCCAATGAATAACTAT